GGAACCAAGGATGTATCAGACCCAGCTTTGCCCTGCCCTGCCCTTCCTCAGGCAGTAAATACAACCTTGTGTTGTTACCATCGGGGACCATTCAGTTCTGAATCAGATCAGGGGAGAGAGGGATGTTCTGGAGAGATGGGAGAATTGGGAGTTAGCCTGGTGAAGGCCGATAGAGCATAGGGAAGAGCCTGAGCAAAGCTGGAAGAATGTACTGTTAGTGTGCCCTGACCTAGGGCCATTGCCTTGTGTGTGGAATCCGGCTTCACCCCCTCCCTTGCTTGAGCAGCTCTGGGAAACTTCTGAGGATCGGATGCCTCCTCTGCAAAATGGGAGCATTTTCAATGCGTCCCTCCCAGGGCTGGGGAGGGAACTGGCAGTGCATGGATGGCCATGCCTGTGTTGGTGAGCCTCTCGGTAGGCCATGCCAGCCTGTTAGTCCTAGCATATCTGCATGTAGGCGCAAGATAGAGTGGGGAACAGACTGGAACATAGCAAGGGGTCAAAGGTCAGGGGCTTGAACCTGAAACAAGCCAGTGGAATGAGCCAGAAAGCCACCTGCTTTTTTCCAACTTTCTCTAATCAATAGGCATTGTCTTCCAATCAGAGGCAAAGATTTTGAAAAGAGAAGATTGTGCTGGGTCTGCTGTCCCTACACCCCACCCCTTTCTGCCCCCATGTGCTATTTGGACTTAGATGTCTGGGTTAAGCTTCAGGGGGAAGAGGACAGCATGAAGCTTCTTCTTAGGGTTGATACAGTCTAGGGGTCTTGATCCAGTTCATTTTAGCGTTGAGAACTGGGGTTCCCCAGACTCCAAAGTGGCTGCACAGTGTAGCCATTTCTATCTGAGGTAGAGGATGAGGTTTGGAGTGTCCCCATGTTGGGAAGGGAAAACCCTGGAACCTTGTTCTGTGAGTTGGAGCCCTCCTTCCTGGTGTGCTTTTGAGGAGTTCAAGCAGTGGCCCCTCTGAGACCTTTGGATTGTCTGTGAAGACGCCAGGAGGCCTGTGCCTCCGCTCTCTCCAGCTGGACCTGCCACTGCTGAGCCTCTCAAGGCCAAACCTCCATTGCAGGACCTAGATGCTCAGAAGATGCCTGGGTTGGGTGTGGACACCGGACCTCGGGGCCAAGCAGGGTCCTGTGTTCCTGGGGCCCTTCCCCAGCAACTCCTCTCCCTGCCCCCACCTCAGGCCGGGACACCCGGCCTAAGCTCTGCAGTGTCCAGTCTTTGTTGCCCACATCCCAGGAGAAGCCCGTGTGGGCCACAAGCCCGCCTTTGTCAACTCAAGCCTCTCATGGGGCCGTGCCAGGAGGGGCTGGTGGGTGTTTTGCCTGCAGCTGGAGCAAGCCCCCAGAGGCCTCATCTCCCCCAAACCCCCTCAGATACAGAGCTGGCATGTGCACAACAGCCTGCACTGTGGTGAAGGCAGTTCCTCTGAGAGACAGCTGCTCGCAGACAGTCATGCGCTCATTTCTTCACTAGATGCCCGTGTCAGGCCCAGGGCCAGGGACGTGGGCTGTGAGATGGGACTCTGTCTTCTGTGGGGAATCCCTTGGGTGACTCATCCCTTAGGTTTCTGACTCGGTAGGTCTGGATGGGGATATGGGGTTTTGTGTCAGGTTCACACATCCTCGAGTATGTGAGGCAGACGCTACCAGCGAGCCATAACACCATCCCTGGGGGCCACTGTAATTCAGAACCAGGTGGAGAAATTGTGATTGATAGTTTCTGTATTTTTCAGAACTTTGTGTTTGATGGTGTCCCACTTTCACAAAAGCTAGTTAGTTACTAGAAAACTAAGTGAGGGGGATGCCACCTGCTGCCATCTCAATGCCATACATCTGTTAATGTGTTCCAGCAGCATGAGTTTGGGAATGCCCTTGCGGCTACCCTTGACTTCATGTCACCTAGAGAGTCACTCAGACCCCACATCCTCCCAGTCACCCTGCTCTGTCAGAGCAATGGAAATGTGTGAGCTGCTCACAGATGACACGGCTGAATAACATGAGCCCTTGCAGCCTGGACCATGTGGATGTGTGTGTCTGCCTGCATCTCCTGCCCCTTCCTTCCTGCTGCCTTCTCTGCCAGCTGAACTTCCCCATTTCTCTGACTAGCGTGCTCACTGACTGTCCCACTTCCCCCCTTTCCACTTCTGGTCTGCCTACTTGGCGTGGTGCAGGGTGGTGACTCTCTACTTTGGGATGGGTGTCCTCTGAGGTGACAGCCAAAGGCAGGTCACCCACTTTAGATCCAGTGATGGTGAACACACCCCTGGGACCCAGTCTGACATGTGGAGTAGCAGTGCACTGATTAGCTGTCAGTGGGGGGAGGCAGTAGGGGTTGGAGCCACCCATTTGTCACTTCTGGCCTTCCTTTCCCTTGTTCTAAGAAATGGTTCCAGAAGCCAGGCAGATGGCCGGGAGCACCCCTGGGGTGTGGGTGTGGCCTGGATAAAATGGCTTTTCAACTGCCCTTCAATCCAGCAGGCCACACCCCTTTCCCACAGGGAACCACTGCAGCCAGGCCACAGTCTGACCCATTGCAGTGTAGACCCACAGTTATGCTTTTCCTGCTGGCAGGCAGGTGTGAGGAGAGGCCCCCATGATTCCAGTCCCAGACTCTGGAGACCCCTGGGGTAAGCAAGGGGTGTGGTGAGGGAACTCCCTTTTATTCCCATCTTCTTTAGGGGACTCCAGCCTTCCAGATCCTGGTCCCCTCTCTAGATCTGCCTTTCTGTTCCTGCCTGGTTCCCTCCCTGCTTCCATCAGTACCAACCTTGAGTGCTTATCTGGGGAGTGAGTGCCTTTATCATCCCTGATGACTCAGTTTCCCTTCTCTGTGTGCAATCTTGTTTAAGCTAGCAATATTACTCATGTTTGCGACTCAGTTTCCATATTTGTTATGAGGCATAATTATGTGTTTCTTCTATGCGGTGTCTGCTGGTTACTCCCTTCCCCCTTTCTCAGCAGGACGTCCCTCCCTCTTGTTCTCTCTTCATTAGCTAGGCATGCTTTTGCTCATTCAGTTAATAGCATTGGAAGTCTGCAGGAGGCCAAGCAGAGGCTAGATGTGAGGGCCAGGCAGGTGGGGCAACCTTTCAGGCTCCCGTGGTCACTGGGAGACCAACTGCTACACAGAATTTCAGATGAGTTGAGGAAAGAGAAGCGCTGATGGGAGCTGGTGACAGTGACAGTAGCAGCTCTCCTGATTGAGGTCACTTGTAATTCCTTCTGCTTAAAACTCACACACCAGACCTTCCAGGCCCTGTATGACTACCCTTGTATCCCCATCCCTTGCTTTTCTGTTTTGTTTTGTGTTTTAGACAGCTGAGGCTAGCTTTGAACTCATGATCTTCAACTCCATATCTCCCATACCTAACTCTTGCCCTATCTTTTAAGCAAAAGTAAACAAACAAAAACTTTTTTGAGACAGAGTCTCACTATGTAGCCTTGACTGGCCTGCAACTTCCTCTATGGACCAGGCTGGCCTGGGATTCACACAGATGCCGCCTCTCTGCCTCTGCCTCCTCTCAAGTGTTGAGATTAAATTTGTGAATGTGTGTGCCACAGAACACATGACGAGGTCAGAGGCCAGCTTAAGTTGGTTTTCTCTTCTTCTGTACCATGTGGGCCCCAGGGATCAAACTCGGGCCACTAGGCTCGTTGGCCCTAACCCATCTTACCAGGTCCTTGACGCATCTTTTTCTTCCTGAGTCAGGGTCCCACTATGTAGTTAGCTGTCCTGGAACTCGCTGTGTAGACCAGGCTGGCCTTGAACTCACAGAGATCCTCTGCCTCCCAGGTGCTGGGGTTAAAGGCGTGCGTGACTCCTCTAACCTCTTGGTGTATCTTGATGCATTGAGTTCTTTCCTGTTCGCACACTGCTCCCTCTGCCTGGCACTCTTGTGGACATTGCTTCTTGCCTTGGCTTAGATGTCCCTTCTTTGGAGATGGCCTCCTTGACCACCCCCTTTTCACTGCTAAATTTTCAGATTGTTATTTAGTTAACTTTATTCTTTTTGCCTCCGTGACTTCATAGTATTTGAATTTGTTTCTTGTTTACTGTGTTTCCCGAAGAAAGCTTGGGGAGGAAGATGGCGACCATGCTGCTGCTAGCACGCTTCCCTGGTGTTCTGTGTGCAGCCTGGTGTCAGTTATGCAGCCGGCACTCAGGGATGTTGAGTGCATCCTGATGTGTTTCCCATCGCTTCCGTAACAAGACTCTATTGCTGCTTTCCATCACTGTGACAAGATACCTGAGGTCACCAACTTAAGAGGAGGAATGTCATACTTTGTGTTTCGTCTCATCATTTGGAAGCTTCAGTTCACGTTGTGCCTGCTGTGACACAGAGCATCACGGCAGGAAGAGTGTGGCACATGAGCTGCTTACCTCATGGTGTCCAGAAAGCAAGGAGGGGGGTGACAGGGTACCAATACCCCTTCAAAGGCCCCTGCCAATCACCTGGTGTCCTCGCCTCTAAAAAGGGCACATCACTTCCCAGTAGAGCCACAGGAAGACAGGCTATAGCAGTGGGGGGACAGTTAGATCCAAATCTTCCAGGTCTACAGTCTGAAACTCAAGTCCTGGCAGGACGGCCTATCTGCTGAGCGCTCTAGGGCAGAATCCGATCCTTGGCCTTTTGCCCTTGTGGAACTTTCACCCTGGTGGAGGCTGCCTGCACTTCTTGGCTGCTGGCCCTTTCTCCACCTGCAGGACCTGTCTGTCTTCCTCTACGCCCTCCTCTGGTCGCTTGCTTGCACTGGCCTCCCTCTCAAGGCCCAGGCGTGCTTCCGGCTGGGGACCCTTGTCTTAGTCACATCTGCAAAGCCCCTTTTGCCACAGAAGGCATATACTTAATTCTGGGAGTTCAACTGTGGCCATCTGGGTGTTAATCGGCCTATAGCCCTGGTCCCCAGGTCTTCTTGTCAGGTGTCATCAGCATTCAGACACCCTGTCCACTGCCATGGCATATGGAGATGTGACCATTCTTTCATCTTGCAGGACGAGATTGAGGAGCTCCGGGCTGAGATGCTGGAAATGCGGGATGTCTACATGGAGGAAGACGTGTACCAGCTACAGGAGCTGCGGCAGCAGCTGGACCAAGCCAGCAAGACCTGTCGTATCCTGCAGTACCGGCTGCGGAAAGCTGAGCGCCGTAGCCTCCGTGCTGCCCAGACAGGCCAGGTGGATGGTGAGCTCATCCGTGGTCTGGAGCAGGACGTCAAGGTCAGTTTGGGGGTCTCCACCAATCTTTATAGGGGCCCATGTTGGGTGGTTGGGTCATAGGCCCCATTGGGGATTCAGGTTAGCCCTGTAGCTTACTACTTGCCTTGGGCAAGTTATCCTGCCTCTCTGGTCTCAGTTTCCCCTTCTGCAAAGTCGAGACCCCTGGTGGGTCAGCAGGTCCTCCAAATGGGATATCCCAAAATGGTAAGATCAGAAACATCACCACCTTAGCCCCCTCCCCAGCCCCTCCCCACCACCCTGCCGCAGCAGGAGGTTCTTCCTTGCATATACCTGACTGTGGCTTCTGAGTGGCTTCTACATAGTCCCCATTGGTTTTCCCGGGTTCCTTGGGCTAATGAGAGATCAAAGGAATGCAGCTGAACTGGGTTGGTTCAGAGCTGGGCTCCAGTATGCCTGGGGGTTTCTGATTTTGAGCAAGTCACCTATGTTTCAGTTCCCTCATCTACAAAATGGATGTCAGAACGTCCAACCAGGATATTGAAACCATGACTAAGACACCAGAGGGACTGACAGTGATTAGCCATTTTTACTGCATCTGATTTCCAGATGAGCGCTCTGGGGCTCAGAGTGGGGATGGGTCAAGGGCTCTCCTATGTGGATGACAGAAGTCAGGCTCATCTACTTCCCAGACCTCACTGCTGAACCCTGCTGCTCTTCTGCCTCAGGAGGAAGCAGGGATGGCCCCATTCAGATAGGTGGGGGCTCCAGGAGAGATTATGTAAACCCTTGGGTGGGGAGTCCAAACCGTGCTCTCAGAACTCAGCTCAGTGTGAGTGGGGATGGGGGGCAGCTGGTGAGCTCGGACTGGTGCAGAGCAGAGAGGAGCCGAGGAGCCTGTGGGTGACCTCTGCCCTGAGGCCCAAGAGAGGAGAGGGCCCAGGGATGTTCTAGGAAAGACTCACAAGGGCCCTGAGGGCAGACAGGTGCGGCGCCATCCACACAGGCCTGCTGCTGGAGGGCACTGAGAATCCAGCCCTGCAAGCCACTCATAAAGGACACCCTTCATTCGGGAACCAGTGTTGATTTAAAAGGCCGCGGCTCCATGCGCCTGTGAACCTGTCTGGAGCCAGGTTTCTTGACTGCACAGCAAGACCCTGATTTTTGTAAACAAAAAAACACCCCATTTCCCTCGTTGGTAGGAGACAGATCAGAGACGGGAGAGTGGAGAAGTTCAGGCAAATCTGCCATTGGGCCTTGGCCCTAGAGGATTTCTGGGAGGCACCCTAGAAAAGCCTAATAGGAGATGAGGGAGTGGGGCGCAGGCTGGTGGGCGGGGCCAAAGCAGCTGGGGTGAGGGTGGGGCTCAGCCCTCCTGGAGGAAGGGAAGGCCCCTTCTGTTGGGATTTGAACCAGCCAATCAGCATCCCCGTCCCCGATCTCCCCTCCCCTCACTCCTCCCCTCGCAGCTGCAGAGCTGAGCTCACGCTCCGGCTCCGCCTGAGCTGGTCACAGCTTTGCCATCACCCTTGGTCCCCAGCGTGATTGGAATGTTAGAGGCCATTATAGAGGTCCTCAGAATGCTGACTTCCCCTAGGCAGGCTGAGGAACCAGGTGGAGAGGGATTGGAAGGGGTATGCCTAGGGATTCCTCCCTTGCTCGGCAGGCTCCCTGGCCCTGTGCCCTGCAGGGCCTTTGAGCTCCAGTGGTTTTTGTTGGGCACATGTGCTATTACTGAGATCACCACCACCACCCCATAGCAACCCTCCCAGGCTCTTCCACTTTTTGCTGGTCCACACAGTTAACAAGATCACTGACCCTCAGCAGTATGGTAGCATGAGGTTGGGAGGGCTAATGGATAGCGACCTGTGCTGCCTCTTTGTGGCTGAGTGGCCTTGGATAAGCTACTTCACATCTCTGATCCTGTGTCCCTTGTGGAACATGGAGATAAGTTTAATTCCCTGTAGAAATTTTGATTAATAAAAAATGAAATTACTAAAGAGAGTGCTGTGTGATGGGTGTGGTAACTGAGCATATGATAGGGTGTCATGGGCGGGGACTCTGGGATCCCTCTGCTTTTCTTGTCGAAGGTCCCAGAACACATCAGTAATAATGTACCCCGTTCTTAGGTAAGGATGCTCTGGCCTCGGCTGTGTGTCCTGGGTAACCTGCATCATTTTCTCCTTAGAGCTCCAGTTTCCCTCTGTGTAAGATGGGGTGATACTCCCATTGTGTGATTCTTGAGAGAGTTCAGTCACACATGGCTCAGGATGCTGCTTTCAGTTTCCATCTTTCTCCCTGAAGATCAGAGCCTCAGGGACATACTGCAGCCCAAGGTTCAGAGCCCAGAGCTGATGGGGGCTGGGGGCCATCGCTGCGGATGGCCTTCAGCAGGGACCAAGGCCAGCACTGTAAACAGTGACCTCATGGCTGAGCACATTTGTTTGTGCTGCAGGCATTTGCCTTGTGTCCGGAAGGACGCTGCCTGTCCTCTCTTGGGCTCCAGGCCCCCTCCTTTGGGTATAACTGTGGGGCTCAGAGAGATAGGCTCACGGGGCCCTGTAGGCCCTTCTGACACTAAGCCATGTTGGGACTTGTTTTGACAGTTCCTCCTTCATTGTTGTGTCCCTTCAAGCTTGCCCCACAGTAGCAGCTTTAGAGCTCACTCATGCTTGGTACCTCCTCAGTCATGTGACTTTGGGCAACTGAGGTTTCCTTTCTGAGCCTCAAAGTGGTAATAAAATGTGTCCGGAGGGTGAGATAAGATTATGGTGAGAGCCCGGGGAGGTTCTAGAACTGGTTCTAGAAATGACCTGTGAGAGCCCAGGCTCTGCACCACTGGGAACCTGGGAGGGGAAGGCAGGGCCAGGCAGGCCCTGGTTCCTGTTGCTCAGTCTAGTAGCTGTGGTGCCCTTTGGTTCTGACCCTCATGGAGTCTGCACAATGCTGCAGGGATCTGAGCTTATGGACTTTTCTGTCTGGAATTCTGCAGCTTCTGGGAGAGAGTAGAGCTTTCTTAACATGTAGCCCTGGGGTGGAGGGAACATGGGGACAAGGAATCTGTGGGGACAGGCAGGGAGTCCATGGAGAAGGAGAGGATCCAGGAACTCTTATGGGGATCTGATGGGCTTCCCAGGTGGAGGCCATCGTGGATATGGGACACCTTCTACCCCCCCCCCACCATGGAAGCATGTTTAGGAGAGGACCCTTGACCCTAGTAGCTCTCTGTGGATAGGGGGCAGGGGCAGCTCCCCACGTATATTCAGTCAGCCACTCCTTCATCAAGTGCTGAACCCTGATTTGTTTGTTCATCCAACAAGCATTTGTTTGGCATTTAGTGTATGCTGAGCCCTGAGCCGCTACTGGGACACACGTGTGAATGAATCCAGATAGGCCTGGCCTCGGTCTCTGTGGTCCCTCACTTCCACCCCATTGCCAAGGCAAGATGAATGAATGAATGAATGGAATGTTGCTGAGGAGAGGGCTTCCTGAGTGACCTGATAGCTCTGCGTTAGGGACTATAGCTATAAGTCTGGGCCAAGGTGGGTAAAATCAATACAAAGAGGCGAAGCAGTAATCGGTAATTCATTAAAAATGCTTCTGTGGCTGGCTTGGAGGTGGAGCTCAGCTGACAGAGTGCAGACATGAAGCCCTGGCATTGGTCTTCAGCAAGGTGGCATATGCCTCTTAGCCCAGCACTTGGGAGGCAGAGGCAGGAGGATCAGAAGTTCAAGGCCACCTCTGGATAGTAGCAAACTCAAGGCTAGGCTGGGGAGAAAATAAATTGTTGTTTGACTGGAGATGTAGCGGAGTGGGAGAGTGCTTGCCTGGTGTGCACGGAAGTCTGAGGCTCATTCCCAGCACAGCCTGAGATAGAAATCCTTGTATGGATGGCGCCTTGAACTGGTGACCTTTGTGCAGCTCTGGTGGTTCTTAAGTGTTTTACACAACCAAAAACGGGCCATGAAACTATGAAATAAATGTAACTTTGTAATACGTTCAACAGAGTGGATTATTTAAAAATAATAGTAAATAAGAAGCCCTGTATTTTTGGTCGCCTTCTGGATTCCAGCCACCACCCAGGCCCCACGGATGCCATTTATTCCCTCCAGCAGCCCTCAGGAGCAGGGCGGCCTCCCATTTACTGCTGGCCACACAGCCAGGGAATGCTGGCACTGAACTTGAATCTAGTTTTCTTCTCTGAATCTTTTTATGATATTGAAGGATTGACCACCCTACTTTATGGGTGAGGAAAACTTTGTGGCCAGAGTGGCTACAGGGGAGGCTTGTGGGCCTCTGTCCGGCATCCTCAGAGATCTTCAGGCTGGAGGGGGCAGTGGGCAGAGGAGGGAGGAGAACCATGCCCAGTTTCCTCTCAACTGTTGTTTTTCCTGGCTTCCCTGCACACTGCCAAAGGGGTCTGTGCTGAGTTGGGTTTGGGCCCAGGCAACGGGCAGAGCCAGGGAGGGCCTCTTCCCTTCCAGAGGGAGGAGGTGCATGGTCATTTCCGACATTGGCAGGCCTGGGTGCTGGGCTGTCTATGCCGCACAGGTTTTGCTGGCAAAGCCTTCAGACTTCTGGGAGATCCTGGCTATGCTGGCCCTTCCAAACTGCAGGGAGTCCTAGTCCAGTCCAGTCATGCTCGATGTGTGTGACCCTGAGAAAGTCACTTCTGAGTTTATGTAAAGAGAGCAGGACCAGCTCAGGAGGGCGCCCTTCACCCCCACCCAGGGCAGGGGTGCCTTCCCTGCTGAGTCTGGACCCAGGATTACAGAGTGCCACTCAGTTAGCCACATCCAAGGGATGATTTGGACACTTGCCTAGCTTTTGTCATTCTAGCATGTTCTATATCCCAGAACAGGCCTCAGGGTCACTGTGACCTCCAGGAAGTCATGCCTGTCTCTGGATATTGGTTCCTGGGAGCAGCAGCCACGGCTCACCAGACACTCACTGTGGCAGCCGCCGGGTGAAGGCTTTGTGAGCAGTAGCTGATGTGATCCTCCTGTTGATCCCAAGGTTGTCTGGTTACTGCTGTACCCATTTTATACAAGCTGAGAACACTGAGGCACGGGGCCTGTAAATGAGTTGCTGAGGATTATTACATGCTGCCCATTATATGCTGGGCTTCCAAACCAACTCCCTCCCCTCACAGGCTCCCCCTGCTGAATATAAAGCCCTGTAAGGACAGAACAAGATCGTCACAGCTTTTGGGGGCAGCATTGGGGTGTGGGGTGCCTGGGTTTGGGGTCTGTTAATCCCTGGATTCATGACACTTGGTGAGTCTTAGGACATCTTGTGCCTCAGTTTCCTTGTCTGCTGAGTGAGGGCGATGAGGCAACTCTGACGGAGGTGGGATGCTCCCTGGGACTCAGGTGTGTCGTCCTCCGGCTTGAACGTGCCCTCTCTCTCGCCCACCCCGGCCCAGGTCTCTAAGGACATCTCCATGCGGCTCCACAAGGAGCTGGAGGTGGTGGAGAAGAAGCGCGTGAGGCTGGAGGAGGAGAACGAGGGGCTCCGGCAGAGGCTCATCGAGACAGAGCTGGCCAAACAGGTGCTGCAGACAGAGCTGGAGCGTCCCAGAGAGGTGAGAGCCGCAGCCGGCGGGGATGCGCACCCCGCCAGGTTGCTTGTGGACTGAGATGGGTGCCCTTGGGCCTCCCTGGCAGTGTTGGTTTCCCATTCATCCGTCCAGCATATCTTTTCTGAGCACTTTGTCTGTATTCTACACTGGACATTCTGAATAGAGTGGTGAGCAAGATACACTTACTGGGATTAATTACTCTCTCTGGGGCTAATTGGAGGTATGTTCATCAATGCCCAGCATGGGCCTGGCCTTCTGTGCCTCAGTTCCTCATCTATAAGGTTGGGCAGTTGTTCCCTGGTCACTGACTAGCTTGTGTAGACATGTTTTAGGGACTAGTGTGCTGTTGCCACTAGGCTTGAGAAGAATGCTAGGCCTGGATCTCCCTCTTTTGTCTCTGAATGTGACTTCCAGATCCCATGTCCCCCATCCTGGTTGGTGTCAGCCTCTCCTTCTTCTGTACCCTCCTCCAGCTGTGAGTTAGACTCACATGAGGACAGTTTATCTCAGAAATCTCTGCAAAGGCTCAACAAAGCTGTGCTGCATTTCACGGCTGAGCAGACAGCTTCCTTCCGGGAGCGGGAGGTGGGTTCTCAAGGTCAGGCCGGCTGCTTGCCAGTGGAAAACCATCAGCCTGGGTGATGGTTAAGCCTAAATACCTCCTAATGCCAAGGGGGTCTGTGGTCCAAACACTAGGTGGCCTCTGGTCATAGAGGTGCAGCTGTCCTCAGCTGGTTGGCTGCTCGTTAGGCATCCCGGGCTGTACATTTTCTGGAGCACCTACTTGCTTTGCAAGGGGGCCAGCATGCCAGCAGTTGGGAGCTGAGACATCACAGTCCCAAGGGCGGAGCAGTCCTTTGGCTGCCCTTCACACTGGGTGAGCTGGTGCTATGTGCCAGTGCCCCACAGGGTGGAGAGGGAAGCATCTGCCCTAAGGGCTACTGTGGCATGCGTTGTGCTGTGGAGCTGGGGGTGTTCCTCCCTTCATGTCGTTTCCTGCTTGCCTACAGCCCTGGGTGCCATAATGTTGTTGCTCCCATTTCTGATGGTGAAAACAAGGGGTGTTATAAAGCACCCCATTTCACAGCCCATTCAGCTTGCACAGATAGGGAAACTGAGGCCCTCAGCTGAAGCTTGTTGAGTTTGCCCCAGATTTTCCTCAGCAGAGATGTGACTGAGGCTACTTCCCCTCTCCAAGTCTCAGCTTCTTCCTCTAAGACAGTGGTTCTCAACTTTCCTCATGCTGCAACCGACCCCTTAATACAGTCCCTTATGTTGTGGTGACCCCCAACCGTAAAATTATTTTTGCTGCCTCTTCATAACTGCAATTTTACTACTGTTATGAATCATACTGTAAATATCTGTGTTTTCTGATGGTCTTAGGTGACCCCTGTGAAAGGGTCACTCAACCCCAAAGGCGTCATGACCCACATGTTGAGAAATGCTGCTCTATGATGTCAGGATGCAAGTAGTACCAATTTACAGGGACATTTGTGTGACCAGAGGGGCCAGGGATGCAGCCCAGTGGCAGAGTATGTGCCTGGCATATGAGGGGCCGAAAAGAAAAGAAAAACCTTTTTGAGTGATTGTGTAATGCTATGAAGAAGTTAGAAAGAATAAGGTCATGTGACCATGTTAAGAGAAGCTTTTTCTTTTGATAGGGGCCTTCCTGCCCGCCTGGTTCCAGAGCCGCATCAGTCCCAAATAAACACACAGGAGGCTATATTCATTATGAAGCTGTTGGCCTTGCTTGTTTCTTACTGGCTAGCTCTGACTTAAGTAATTACCCCATAATTGTTAATCTAAGTATGTCTCTTACCGGAGAGGTTTCCGGGCTTCCTACCCCAATGGCGTTACATCTCGAACCTTTGTGTTTCTTCTTCCCAGAATCCTCCTGGACTCCTAGTCCCTCCTATCTAGATTCCCTATTGGCCAGACAGTGCTTTATTTGCATAAGACTTCCCCAACATGACCATTCCTCAAAACCTTAAGGAACTGCGTCACCCAGCAGTTCCAGTTCTTAGTATATCCCAAAGAACCGAGGGCAAGGACACAGAGATGTTTGTACCTCCATGTTCATAGCAGCATTATTCATACACAGTAGCCCAGGGACAGAAGCAACCCAAGTGTTGAGTGTTGGGTGGATGGATATACAAAGCCAGCTATGCGTGTGCATGGGATGCGTGTGCATGGGATGCGTGTGCATGGGGTGCGTGTGCATGGGATGCGTGTGCATGGGACAGTTGTTTAACCTGGAGGACTGAAGAGCTGATGCACACTACAGCCTGGATGGGCCTGGAAAGCATCATGCCATGTGAACGAAGCCAGATATGTGGGGGGTAAATGTTGTAAAGTTCCATTTATCTGAGAGTCCTAGAGTAGTCAGATTCATAAGGCAGGGGGGAGAGGTACTGGGCAGGGGAGGAGGGAAGTAGGCTTACTGTTAGGTGCGGGTTGGAGGGCAGAGTTTCAGTTCGGAGCAGTGGAAGGGTTTTGGAGACAGAGCGTGCTTGTGGTCATACACAATGAGTAGATTCAAGCAGGATATGGTGTTGCCACCTACTGTCCCAGCACTTGGGAGATAAAAACAAGAGGATCAAGAGTTCCAGTCATTTTCAGCTCCACCGTGAGTTTGAGCCACTCTGGGCTAGATGAGATCCTGTCTCAAAAGGAGAGCCTGGGTTCAAATCCTGGCAAAAGTAAAAAATGGTAACTTTATGTTAAATATATTTTACCATAATAAAAAGAATGTTTTAAGATGGTAAATTTATATACTATAGTCTTTACCACATGTTTAAAAAGTAGAAAAGTGTGTGCTGATATGAGAAGGTCTCCAGTGTATGCTGTAAACCAGAGAAGGACATTAGGAAGCTAGACCTAGTGGCTGGATCCCTTATCCCAGCTACCCAAAACCTGGGTCTGCCCAAGCTGCAGAGTGAGTTTAGCCAGCCTAGGTGATTTCATGATACCTTTTCTTGAAATAAAAAAGTCACAAAGAGCTGGGAACATTGCTCAGTAGTAGAACACTTGCCTAACACACATGAAACCCAGGATTTGAGACCCACTAGAGCCAAAAAAAGAATGTTATAGAACTGTTTATATTGAAAAATCCCACAAGCTATTTTGAGATCTCATACATACCAGGGCAGGGTGGACTCTCGAGCTATACCACCAGCCAAAAGTTAGGCTCTGTGTGTGTGTGTGTGTGTCTGTGTGTGTGTGTTTTCAAGGACAACTTGAAGAAGTTGGTTCTTTTCTTCCATCCCAAGGATCTCAGGCGTCAAACTCAGGTCATCAGGGTTGGTGGCAGGTGCCTTTACCCACTAAGTTGCCCCACAGCCCTACTCGTGGAACTTTAACTGTAAACGTTAGGTGTTTAATGTGAAGAGCCTAGAATTGACCCTGACATGGAGTAGTTGCTGAAGAAACCAGTTCTCTTCCCCGAGAAACAGATACCTGAAGCCTGGTCTGTCATCCTGATGTTCCAGATCCTGTTTATTTGCTGTTTGCCCTCTCCCCCTCCCTCTCCTTCCTGACATGGTTGCTATGGAGACAAGGGTCCCTCAGCAATTCTTCTGCCAGAGCTACAGTCCCATCCTCAGAACCTGCCTTTGCCATCCTGACAGGTTGCTGAGGCGATGTTGTCACCGACTAGGAATGGGAGCCCTTGCCCTGAGCTGATGCTGTTGCTATGGAGACGGCTCTTGGCGAGACAGAAGGGAGGTGGCATGCCCTAACTGCTGTCTGCAGTGGCACTGTGGCTCAGCTGGGCTGCTGCTTAAGAATCGGAGTAGCAGCTGCCCCTTCATCCACTGTCATCCCCCTTGTATTCAGGCAGAAAGCCAGTGCGAGTATGATTTGTCCTAACATAGCTTACTCTGTGCCAGGCACAGCTGCCAGCCTTGCCCATATGCCTTCATGCTGCTTAACCCTCCACCGTTCCTTCTTCATAGGTGCTATTCCTTCTTGGACATTTTAAAATTACAGTATAATTCAGCGATCGCAGAATACACTGTTTTACAGTTCAGTTTCATGAATTGATGTTGTACTGCCATCACCATGATTTAATTCCATAAGATTCCCATTGCTCTCCTAAGCAACCCCACACCTGTTAGCAGTCACTCTCCACCCCCTTCCCCCTCTAGCTCCTGGCAACTGCTGGCCTGTTTTCTGTCTCTATTGATTTATCCATTCAGGAGATTGCATTCAAATGGAATCAAGCGATGTGTGATCTTTGGTGATGGGCTTCTATTACTTGGCAGAAAGAAGGCTTTCCGGGTTTAGGCATCCATGTTGAAGGACCTCATTTCTTTTCATGGCTGGGTAACAATCCATTGTGTGGGGTGAGTGCCTTATATTTAGTAGATACTTGGGTGGCTTCCACTTTCTGCTGACATAAATAATGCTACAAAGGGCATCCATGTTCACATTTTTGTGATTCTGTATGCGTTTCTCTTGGGTATGCACACAGGGGCAGAATGGCTGTACATGGATGAGATTGAAGAAAGACAAATAAGGGATTCAAACTCGGGACCCTAGGTCTCCCGCTGCCCCCTAGCAGAGATGCTGCTGCCGTCTCTGAGGCAGCAAGGGCCCCTCTCAGACCCCACATCGCTGATTTCTCACTGGATTTCCTCCTTGATGGTGGGGAGAGCACTGCTGACATCTTGGGGTCGCGCCCTCTTTCTGCTGCCCTGCAGTGTGCTCTGACCCGGTCTGTGAGCTTCGAGGCAAACACAGACGCGGAGCCACGTAGGCCCGGGTGTGAATCTTGGCTTTGCTGTTTCCTTGTGAGTGACTGTACCCTTGGGCAGATGGTGCGACAACTCCAGTGCTCACTTGATCTGTTTACAAAAAAGGAGAATCAGCCCCTACAGCTTAGGGGTGCTTGTGGAAACGAAATGAGACAGGCTGGGAAGTGCTCAGCATAGAATCAGCACTTGCTAAATACAGTGTGTACTATTATCGTTACCATCTCAACCAGCCGCTGGCTGCGGGCCTGG